ATAATTTATCGCTACCGTTACGCGTGCATAACCATGCGTGAATCACGGAATTGTCGTGCAAGTGTAACGTGTTACGAAGGAATTACGAAATCTTCAGCCGTTGTGCCACGTGCGCGCCTTTTTTCTTTTTTATTCGCTTTTAATGAGGCTCTGGTTCCGGCTGCGTTTACTATGCACCGGCGACCGGTTAATTGTACCGGGATAGGGCAGCTAAACCGGGAAACTCCGGGATCCGCGATACACATGAAAATCGATGATTCATTTCTCTCGAAATTTGCATTTCAGATTCAGTTTTATCGATTCGAACGGAAAATTTCTGCATTTTTTCACGTTGGTGGATTTTAACGCAAAAATAAAAATGCAAACTGTGTTGACGTACTTTCGTAGATTCAATAATAAATATTGATTTTTTAGCACTGACGTGCGTTCTCGTGAAAAGTGTGGTAAACCCACTGCTGCATTCGCGTTTTGCTTACTTGGAAAGTGCTCGCAATAATTCTCAATCCCGTTCTGAGGCTTCCTTTTTCCAAGGGTAGAGAAAGGTGCATGCACGTGTTCCTCTCGTACTATATTGCAACAATTGCAACCGTTCGCTTATTGTTGATTGCAGAAGAAACCGCGAGACGTATGTATGTACACTACCGTCCATAAGTATCTGAACTCTATCGAGTTTAATCAAATAACAATTAACATTGCTATAATGCAAATATCTTCCAACGAGAATAATATAATGATAATACGCTTTTATTGCGTAGAGGTGCACGTTAAAGCATAAAAGAAAAGCAAAAAGTTCTCCTTGGAATAGCTGTTAATAGGTTAAATTCAACGGTTCGTAATGATACGTTACTCCTAATTGAAGGATATATCGTTTATAACTCTGACGCTCGTACGTGGTTAGGTATCCTTTCGACAAGTCGTTTATGTATCAATGCAAACTTGTGGTCCACTCACGCGACTCTTGGCTGCAGAGTTCACGGCACGGGAACGTAAAAATAACGAAACCTTGGCTACAATATAAAATACGTTGCGCAAGAAACGTATAGATCGATATTGTTGACACTTTTCATAATACCGGTTTATATCGCACGATTTTATCGCGTTAAATAGCGGAAGAAATGGCAGTATCGGTTGCGTAATTTTCGATCAATTTTACTGTCACCACACTTTGGTTGCCATATAGTTGGGACTACTTGAATCATTTAACATTCTAGTCGTTCGAATACTGTAATTCGAAACTATATATTAAAGATAGAAGTTTATTTTTTAAAAGCTTAAAATACAAAAGTTTATGAGCTCCCCTTTCTTTCCATCTTGTCGGTTAATTCACACTTATTCCGTCGTCATCATCGAGCAAATATTAAATATTTATGAAATTAATTACCGGCGTCTCAGAAGTCACCGAGCAACACGGTCATTCGTTTTCTCGTTTCTCGCGCCACGCAACCCCGGATCGTTCGATTTTATCCGGCTTTATCGCGGATTTAATTGTTCATCGAATCGACAATAGGAAGTTCAGAAGTAAACAGGGAAAAATTATTCCGTATTGCGCGTGTGGCATAGATCTGACCCCCTTTCATTGTCAGCCTTTTCTTTGGGTTCACTGGCGTGTGTCCATTCACGCGGCGTGCACGTTCCTGGTTCGAGCGTTTTCGATGCACTTGACGCATACTACATTCACGACCGTGTTTTATTGCCGCATTGTTGCTACCTCAACATCTACAAAGCCAACACTCCACACTCCGCGGCAGTGTTCCCCAACCTTTTCCAGATTCTGTTCCACTTCAACGCATCGGAGGTTTCCGATGCCCCCCGGCGTAATTGTCAATCAAGTTCTGACACAAATAGACACGTCGAATAAACAAACGTGAATGCAATACAATTCTCTATCCTAAAATATCCAAAGTCACCCCCTACGGCGCCACTGGCTCTACAGGGTTGTCTCAGAAATACATAGACTTTAAGAAAACACGTGTTATATGAGGGACATGAAATCGCGTAATATGAAAACGCGTTATAAGTGTACCGTGTTATAGGGAAGATTACTGTACATTAAAATAAGTAAAAAGTTCTCTAATGTCAAAATAGTCATGGTGGGTGTAAAGAATATTTCTACAGCGATTAATTGCAACTAAAATACCTAATAACAATGTCCATCAAACAATATTTTTTTAGAATATAGGATTGTAGATAAAGAAGAAAAGAAAAAAACCCTCTCCTGGACTACCAATTTAACAAGTTTAATAAATTTAATAAATTCGAAACCCTCGATCCGCGCTATTTCGAGATCGTCGATCGGTCGAACCTTTGAAATTGAATTCCTCAAAGACAAATTACCATCGCGTGTAATTACTCGAGAGACCGATTTATCTGTTGCTTCGTATCTAACTGCGGACTTAACGGTATACGTTCGCGATCAGGGTGGTCTGCAGCTGTGGTTGCTAATTCAACTTTCAATTGTTAAGAAGCAATGTCGCAACTACGTCGCACATTTGCGTTGCACAGATCGGTTCGAGTGTTTCTTCCCCTCCGATTTTGATACACTTTACGAGCCTTTGCGTATTATTCTACCTTGGCTCGAATTAAACAGTCTCTGTTGCCATTTTGGGTATTCGATCTTGCACAATTTATCGAGCAAAAAACTACTATTCGTCGGATTCGTATAACGATCGAGTTATTAAATGGTTATCAGATCGACGCGATAACGCCCGATCGAATAACGATCGTTTTTTTCCGTTTGCACGCTCGTAGTTTCCTGCAATAGACACGCCTTAGGCAGGCAAAGTCCTTGTCGAGTGGGTGGAGCAAGAATGGACAGGAAGTTCTTTGGTCATCGACAGCGGTCGATCCTTATCGAGGTGCCTTTCGTGCTCCGAAATCGACCGCGCGATCTCGAAACTTTCTCGAAAATCGTCAACGATCATGAAAATTGATCGATTCGCTGACACGCGTCCTCGACAATTTGCCTCGTTACGTCGTTAATCTGTCGATTTACTTTTCTACGTTACACGATTCACGAAGGTTCATGCAAACGAGTATTCAAAATTGCCAATATTCCATATATCCGTCTTGAAATTTTTCATTTGCACGTAAAGTTCAATATTGCGAAAGGGTGATTCACATTCGAATATCGGTCCGTGTACAGGATCGCAGCCTTTCGAGCACTTCCACTGCACTCTTGAAATATGTGCAACGCGTTAACTTTCTCACTGTCAGACAGTTTCACACATTATACTAGGTTTTGTAATAATAACGGGCAACGGTTAAATAGATTTCAATTCGTATCGTTTACCATAGCTAACGACCAAGAACACGCGAGTTCTGTCCAATAATGTTCACTCATTTCTGTCTAAATATTGTACATTTCTCGAATTAGTTTAAATATCTTTAATAATCCGAGAAATAATTGCATACGCGTAAGAAGATCGCGAATGAGAAGCTATGCATGGAATGTCGCGTTCGATTCCACGTACAAGGTGTCCCACAGGTTTAAATTTTCAATTAAATCCACATCTACGTTTGGAAATTTTTTACAGAATCCAGGGGGACACTCTGCACGTAGCAGAACCGGATATCGCATAACTTTAAATCTGTAAACACTCTTCTTGGTACGCACGAGGCTGAAAAGATCGCGAAGCCAACAAAGACCATTGGGGATCCATGGATCAAGGTACGTACCTTCCGACGAAGAAGGTGAACGTAGGTGGACCTCCAGGAGATCTCGATACAGTTATACACGTTCCACGGTGCAGCGAAATGAAAGGTTCCGGAGCGCGGTGCACATAGGGATTCGAGCGGAGAAGGCACCTCGAAGACGATAAAAATGTCGCTCGAAGAGTATCAGGAGAATGAAAAAAGACGGATAGAACGACCGTGGCCACGTGATGGAAGCGCAATAATCGCTCGTTGCGATACGGTTCGATACTGGATCTTCGCCTTTTTCATTTTAAAAGAGTGCTCCATGGCTAGCTAAAATTTTATTCGAATAATACGTAATATAAAAATTAATAAATCGTCTCGATTAATACCTAGATAACATTGATGTTAGAGTAACTTTACTGTAGTTAGTTTCAGTTAGTTTAGAAGCTTCTTCGAATATAATAGACTGTGGATCTTTATGCAAATTAATATTTTTATTAATAGAATTAACGAAATGGAAGCTCTGTAGAGGGTTGTTTCAACCCCTAAATACAATTATTCGTATCTTACGTATTTCTTATATTTTTGCACATTATGTACATTTAAATTTTCCATAAATCTTTTTTAGTAACAACACAAGATATTAGTAACAACACAACGTAAACGTGCTCGTTTTCTTTTTGATAAATATTTGTACCTGGTGTGACGGTTCGGGTAACTGAAATCCAGCAGTTCAGTAAACCGGGTAGAAAATTTCGTTCGGTGAATTTTGACAGAACTTCAAACTTGAAGGACTCCAATCTGAGAAAATAATCTGCTAGGTGCAATGTGTTAGGGTTAAGAAAGGTATTTTAAATTGATAGCTTGAGAGTTTAGTCCCCAAAGAAAATTTGTAGGAAAAACACGAGGTGAAGTAGGCAGTCTCGATCGAATTTGCGTCGATCCGCGAAGCGTTGAACGATCCTTCGAGAGAAAAAGGGTACAGCGACGATCGGGATCGATGGTAGGGGGCAACGTGTGAGAGGAGTAGAACACAGAAGGAGCGGAAAGTGAGAGAGAGACCCGCGGGTCACGCTACTCTTCACGATCGAGGGACACCTCTCTTTATCCCCATTCTGTACAGTCGGTTAAAACGCGTCTCTTTCAGTTGTCGCTCGCCAACGTAGCGTTCCGCGCGTCGTGACGCACGCGTCCCGGTGATTTCAACGAGCTGCTCGCGTTTCGCGCAACGGACGAGCACGTGTTCCGTACTCGGCGACCGGGTTTGCACCGCGAATTCGCCCTTATCTTGCGAGTCGCGAATCGCGTATAATTTTTTTCTTTTTTCCCCCCACTCGTGCTCGTGTTGTTTCTTGTAAATTTCGTCTTCGCCGCCGGAGGATCGCTTCGACCGAAAGTGAAAGCGAGAGAGGAGACTTTTGGTTCGGTGCATGTGACCGTGACTTCCGCCGAATCTGTCCAGACCACGCGTAAACCATAACGCGAAGAATGGATCGTTGAATCCGGTAAGTCCACCCTCTGGTAAAACAAGGGTCGATGAAATTTTTCTAATAAACAAAGTCGAGGATGTTGAGCGATCGAGTGATTGATAAATCGGGGATATCGCTAGTTATATACGTTTGCAATCCTTAACGACAGTTTGAGTGTCCCAAACAAAAACAATTATGGTAGTCTTTTTCTGAAAATAACTTCTAAACTAATCAATTTTCGACCCAAGATCCTTAATAATATTTTAAGGAGGTTAATGTATACAAAAATATACAGCTTCGTTTAATGAATTGAGATAGATCTTGATTTTTTATTAAATAAAATATTTTTGGTCAATTTTCATTATTGCAATTTCTTATTAACAATTTTGCTGTTAGTTTAGAAACTATTATGTTTGAAAAGTCACAGCAATCATTTCGAGTATCTAAAATTTTTAATTTACAGCAATACTACGAAATTAATTTAAACGACTTTATATAACGGTATATTAACCCAGAAAATTTGTGTAATTATTACAATAAACGAATGCTGATGTTTCTATGAAATCTGTACAATGTAACGGAGAAGCATTTTAGCATCTTCGACGGCTATAATAATTTCAAATATCTCGTAAACCGACCTTTTTTCGCCATTTCTTACGACGTCGTTCCTCGACGACTCCATTATTGATAATTAAAAGGAATTGTTTTTAGAGAGTATCTTTTTACCGTGGCGATCTGACTATGCCTCCACAATTTTAATTTTGGTAGCACTATCTCGTCCTCGATAAATTACATCATACGTTCCGGATGTAGAACTCCAAAACGAAGGAGTTACAGAAATTAATTGGTATTTCGCCCAAATTTTAACAAAAGATTCGACGTACCATCGTACCGGTGTCTCGATATTTCGATTTTTATAAGGCAGACAGTCGTTTTAGCAGAGGGGGCCGAGGGTACTCGAGTTCGTTTTCGGTGAAAGCACATTTTACATACCACGTCTTCGAAGAAAGTAATTCGGTGGGCGAAAGTGACGAGCGACCAAACTCGTTCGTCCATGGGCGGATTTTATCGACACGCGGGTAGACAGATGCAATCGACGTCGCTTCAGCATTCAATGAATATCTTCCGGTGGCACGTGGTGTACACACGCGCAAATCTCTGACGCGTTCACGTACGATGACTTCTTTTACAGAGCCGTTAATCGCCATTTCCTCACTTTTAAATTATACTTATTTTCTTTTGGGTCAAAATGGATATTTAAGATTGTTTTCCTTCGAAGAACTGCATTTAAATAATTTTGGAAGAATTTAAATTATAAATTATAGATATTTAAATTTAATATTGTACAGGTATCGATGTACCTCGATAATAAATAATCATTAAGATTAATATATACCCAATTTAATACTTTTTTAAAAATCTCTTTAATTGGGACCGCCATCTTAATTCACTCGTCGTTTCTCAAGCAATTATCCCTTCTTTCTCTCAATGGATTTATTTTTTTTATAAAAAATATACTTCTCTCGAGCAGTCGTGTTTGCTTAAACGTCATTAGTCACTGTCGCCTTTGTCTTTCGGAACTTTTTCGTCGGCTACGAAAACATAACAGTTGCGCAAGCAGCATTATTAAAGCAATTATCCGAACGCAACGCATACGTCAATAGTAGCGAACGCGTTAAAGGGACTTTCACCTTTGCATCCCGTGCAAACAGGATACTTTAACGATTTTATTTTTTTTTAACCGTAAATCCGATCGGTTCGAGACCTCGTGCGTGCAGTCATACTTTTAACACGTTCCTCGCCACTCGTCACGTATCTGCAATTACGAGATCCTCGCGAGAGGCAAACAGCGTAAAAAGTATCCGTACGGTAATTTCCGAGAAAACTTTCTACAGCGCCGTGTCCTTTTTGCTAATTTTCACAGCGTGTCTTCGAGAACAATGCGTATTTTTTTTTGTTTGCAGACGCAACGGTAGACATGTCGCTGGTCAATTTCACCTTGCCGTATCAGTCGGCGACGCCCACGCCGTTCTTCTACGGTCAGAACGGAGGACACTCGACGGCGAACAACCTTCGCCTGAACGCGGTACTTCCGCCTGCGCCCGCCCCAAATTTCAACGACCGAGAATCCTTCCAAAATGAGCCGTACATACCGCCAGCTGGCTACCAACAACAGAGACAGCATCAACCGACGTTCAATCGACAGAGCTCGAACGCGTTCGTCGAGCAAACGTCCTTCTCCTCCACCCAGGACACCAGATACGCGAATTACAATCAAGATTTCAGGAGGACTCAGCCGAGACAGCAACAGCAACTGAGACCGCCGCCCCAGCAGTCGCAACAGTTGCAACAATCGCAGCAACAACGAGCCCAGGCGGAGAGGGATCAGGATAATCTCAGGAACTCCAGAGTCCCGGAACAGGAGAGTTATCCTGAGAGACCGAATGGGTAAACGTTTCTACAGGGTTATCCAAATTGAACGTCACATCTTTCAACAATTGACACTGCTATCTTCTTTGTTATATTTAAACTACGTTATTACTAAATATAAACAAATTCTCATGGAATGCTACACTGTTCAAGATCGTGTAAGAATTGTTGAAAATTACTATGAACATTCAAGTTCTGTTCGAGCTTGTTTTCGACTAATTTCTCGAGGAGGGGACATCAACTGGTCCCCAATGGGGGTTTTTAAAAAGTAAAGTTTATGTCAAAAAGTCACAAACGGTAGCCTCCATTAATGAAATAGAACCCCAATTATGTAATAGTGTAGTAGAAAATTGGGTAAAACAAACTCCAAAACTAAAACTCATTGGGTGAACTTTACATTAATATAGTGAAACCTGAAATGTGTTCCATTTCGATTTAAATATGTGACACTCAATTTGGATAACTCTATATAAATAACAATAAATGAGAGAAGTAACGATAGATCTACCGGGAGTACGGAAGTCTGTAAAGTTTTTGGAGCCTTCGAGGTTCGAAAACTTGAGTATCCCGGGTGTTGAAACGTTCGAAAGGTTTTGGAGAATGCTGTCAGGCGATTGTTAAGTATGGAATGGTCTAATAGTTGGCGACACGATTGGCAAATAGGTGTTTCGAATTCCTTCGTGTGGCTGTCTGCCCAAAACGACGACTGTCGCCCATCGTGTCGCGTGCGAACGGAAAGGACGCAGGAAGTTGGGCCCGTTGTCGTAGATTTTGCATGGTCGTTGCATCGTAGGTTTACGATACGTCAATCGTTATCGAGGACGCGGCAATAAGACGCTAGAAATGCACGCAGTCGTTGGAAGGCCAGAATTTTCTAGCAATAAAGGTGTCATTTCTAGGACACTATAGTACACGTTATTATTAACAAGAATTGCTCAAAATTAACTACTTTTTACCGATATACAACGATATCTCAGTGAAGTATATAATTTCATTCTCATTAAAGTCTCTGTGTAAATATGACTGAGTTTTGTAGAGCTATTTGACTATTTGTAGGAAAATTCTATTAGAAATAAAAGGTGCTGAAGCAATAATTTTCTGGGGCTTTCTAAATGGATTTCCAAATAAAAATTGATACAAGGATATATATTCAAATGAACGTAGAAAAAGGCTTTTAAGATCATAAAGTAAACGTTAACCTTTAGACGACCGCGTGAGGACTATTAGGGAACCTCATTATTTCTTAATAACTCATTTACTTAATCGAATTAATGTATGCCATTTTAGTCAACTTTCTCTGCTTTTTTAATTCTATCCCACGATGACGTAGATTTTTATGTTCTGAAAATTAAATAATTTAGGACTTGTGCTTTTATTATTATTATTTTCTGATAAATCTAGAAGATTCGTATGTTTTTCTTTGGCCACGATATGAAACACACAAAATGGCCAATTATTGATATTTTATTTTCTGTGTCAGACATTTCTTAAAAAAGGTTAAGAACCACTGTATCAACGCATCCCAGGACATATTGCACACTCGAAGACGTTAATTTATGATGTGATAACTACAACAAAACATAATTGTAAGCACGATGATCTATGATCTTTTGCCACCATTCTGAAAGCAATTGCATTCCTCTGCAATACCATGTCGGTTCTTTGGATGCAAAAGACTACGCGCATCTGCGTTTGATGTCGTCATCATTATTGAATCAGCTCCCGTTCAAAAAGTGTGCCATTGCTCGGATAAGGTGATTCAAAGATTGGACCCGCAACGGGTGAATTATAGCTTTCAAAGAAAATAACTATTATACTAAAAATAAACGAAAAAAAAACTAAAAATAAAATACCCTTCGTATTCGTCGAGGATTAAAAGAGTCTCGAACGTCAGCAACATCAATTTTTACTTTTGTGTTATTTTGACACGTTTAATTACCCGCTAAAAAATTGTTTTCCCGCGTGTCTTGATGATTCCATCGTCGAAGCAGAGAAAGTGGTTCGCACAGTAGCGTTAATCGAGCAATTATTTATGTAACGATCGGTTCAACGGTTTTTTTCTTACGCGTCATGCATTCCTAATGAATTTCTGACGAACGTCTGGATCATTCCTACGAGCTGGCAATTATATCACCGATCTCTACGATGCCGTTTCTTTCGTCACGCGTCATTTCGCGCGAATGTACTTCGATCATCCACCGAGGCGTCGTTTTTGTCCAAATGACAGACAATTATCGTTAAAGACCTTCGTTTAATGTCTCGTTTTTCGTCCTGGATAACTGTACGTCACGTCGTATTCCATCGATTTCTGCGTCGATGTTAAATTCGAATTCTTCCGTACATTCTTTACTCTTTAATGCTTCTTTTTGCGTGTGATTTACGCCCTTAATCGTCGCCCATTATTACGTAACTGTTGTTAATCGTGCGTATCGCTCACGATCGAGAAAACAATTTTCATTTCAACTCTATTAATTCACAAAGAAGTAATATTTTTACTTTTAATTACGATACCTCTGTAAGAATAATCAACTCGTCCAAATCTGGAAGAAAATCTCTGAAATTTCTGTTTTTAATTAAAAATTTACATGGCGAATCGTTTTTTTTCGTCCAAGGTTCACGAGAGTTCACGGTCAAGATGGCGGTTCGGATACGAAAACTTCGGTCCACGCTGTCCTGGATTACGACGACGATTTCGAGGACTATTACGACGACGACCAAGAGATACCAAGGGACGCTCACGTCACGCCCATTCAAGGACCAATTTTTTTGAAAAATGGCTCCGTTCCCGTGGTACCATTGTACTCTTACCCTCAGTTGAACAATGGCACGTTCGTACAAATACCGGTAAGTACGCAACGACATTTAGAACTTTCGATATCTTTGCATTTCGATTGATTATGCGCCGTCAAACGTTCTGACGTTCGTGCAAGTTTCACTTTCAGCGAATGATCAATTGAACGCGATACCTTACATTTTTTAACATCCGCAGTTAGTGAATTCCTTTATTGAAACTGTAATAAGGAAAAGTTATTTCCTGGACGTTGGAAACACTAGAGTTATTTCTCGTTTCGAACCACTGTGCGACGTAGCAACAATTACTCACGAGATTTGCATTTGATATATGCAAAGCGACTTCGCGAAGTGCGATATTATCTCGAAGTTCTACGCACATACGCACCGTCGGCAATTGCAGTCGTTCAGAGCCGTGACACTGCGGATTCTTTAATGCTATTTTGTACATGCAATTCTTACAAACGCTGAGTAACAATGGTGTGACTCATAGGCTGTTAGAGCGGAAGAATTGTCAGTAGAAAGTATACCGTGCTATTCGCACACAAGCAACGATCTAAGAATACACAAGTAGATTTCGTCAAGTCTGGATCCTGTGTATCAAGATCACGATCACAGCGGAAAATTTTCAACAAACCTTCCGAAAGTTAGTTTTCTAAATGAAATCTCTCTCATTTCAGTTACTGGTAGCCAAAAAAGGAATTTGATACATATAATAAAAGAATTTACCAAACATATCGTAGAGCTGTAATTAAATTTAAAAAATATATTTTTTCTCGCCTTCCGTGGAACGTTTATTTCAATAACAAAGCATTTACCTTCGAGAGTTGCGACGTTTACCCATTTTTCTGCCAGAAGTTGAATTCCACGACGAAAGAACGCTCTCTGTCTTCCGAGCCAATCCATTTAGCAACCCAATTTCCGACTTCTCCGTAATTATGGAAATGTGTATCTTCCAAAGCGTGTTGCATCGATCGAAACAGATGGTAATCGCCTGGGGCCAGGTCCGGAGAATACGCTGGGCGTCTGAGAACCTCCTACTCGAGCTCCATCGGTGTCTGTTTCGCAGCGTCAAAGGCCCGAGCAAAGAAATCGAGACGTCCAAGCGACCCCAAACAATGAGAAAGCAAAATTACTAGGGGAAGTGATTAAACAAGTGCTTACCAAAAGATATAACAATACCATTCACGCGTTTTTTCATTACGAAAATTGAGAGGTACAGTTTAGAATTTGTAGAAAACACTAGCTTTTAATTAGACAATCGACTGATTTTTTTAGCTGTATGGTGAAACTTGATCATTGTTTACTCTATCCCTACTATTGTTTCACACTTTAAAGATATCGCTACTGTCCCGTACTGAAAAGTAAAAGAAAGAAAAAGAACGATCGTTGGACGGATCGAGTCAGCGAGAAAAGGTTAAAATAGGGATTTAAGGCGAAACGAAGTGCTCGTTCCCGACGTTGAATTAATTTCCCCCGTCGTTTTGCTCGCCGAAAGTTCCCGCGGACTAACCGAGTTACCTGTTCGGATAAACCAAGTTCGCGTCGTTGAGTTTATCGTGGCATCTAGCGACAGCTGGGGTACAGGAGTTCTCCGTGGATATTTATGTTCCTCGAATACGTCGTGAGCGGAGTCTCGTACTTGAAAGACCATAGCGCGCGTTCGTGGATCGTTCGAAAGGTGATCGAACGCGGCCGTGGGGCTACAGGAACGTTCAAAGTCTGTATCACTGGCGTTGACATTTCCCGGTGACCCCGGGAGTATCTTCCCTAGGATCTCGCGAACGCTCGATCAGCTGTAGCACCGGGTGCCTCGGTTACGCTCGCCCAGGTGTCCCGATCGCGTTCCCTTTTACCATTCTCGCCGTTTATTTCTCGCGACGACGGAAATTCCTGGCACGACACCGCCGTCGTCGGGTCAACGGGGACACCCGGCATTGAAACGGTAACCTTTTGACCTCACCGGAAAGCTCTAACCCGTCGCGAAGTAGACAACTTGAATTCTACGTAGGAAAGGACAACGTTAAAAAAATGGAAGAATTTTTTAAGTAACAAATATTCTTTCTCTCTCAAGACTCTTAATCTCGAGTGAATTATTTTACTTAATGTTGATTTTTAAAAATTGGTAAATGGAAATCAACTTTACCTTGAAGGACAACGTTAAAAAAATGGGAGAATTTTTTAATTAACAAATATTCTTTCTCTCTCAAGACTAGTTTGCAATCAAGAGTTAGTTTGCAGTAAAATAGTTAGTTTGTTAGTTAGTTAGTTAGTTTGCAATTAGTTAGTTTGTCAGTTAGATAGTTAGTTTGATAGTTAGTTACTTAGTTTGCAGTTAGTTAGATAGTTTGCAGTTAGTTAGTTAGTTAGTTTGCATTAAATTAGTAAGTTTATCAGTTAGTTAGTTAGTTTGAAGTTAGTCAGTTAGATTGTAAGTTCGTTAGTTAGTTTGCAGTTAGTTAGTTAGTGTGCCAGTTAGATAGTTTGTTTGCAGTTAGTTAGTTTATTTGCAGTTAGTTCTTTATTTTGTCAGTTAGTTCCTTAGTGTGCAGTTAGTTAGTTCGTATATGAGTTAGTTAGTTAGTTTGGTGTTAATTAGTTACTATGTTAGATAGTTAGTTTGATAGTTAGTTAGTTTGCAGTTAGTTAGTTAGTTTGCAGTAAATTACTTAGTTTGTCAGTTAGTTAGTTAGTTTGCAGTTAGTTAGTTAGTTTGTCAGTTAGTTAGTTAGTCTGCAGCAAACTAGTTAGTTTGTCAGCTAGTTAGTTAGTTTGTAGTTAGTTTGTTAGTATGCAGTTAATTACTTAGTTTGTCAGTTAGTTAGTGTGTTTGCATTATATTAGTTAGTTTGTCAGTTATTTAGCTAAATTGCTGTTAGTTAGTCAATTTGTCAGTTAGTTAGTATGCAGATAGTTAGTCAGTTTGCAGTTAGTTCGTTATTTTGCAGTAAATTGGTTAGTTTGTTAGTTTGCAGTTAGTCAGTTAGTTTGTCAGATAATCAGTTAGTTTGCAGTTAGTTAGATCGTTTGCCGTTTGTTAGTTATTTTGCAGTAAATTAGTTAGTTTGTCAGTTAGATAGTTTGTTTGCAGTTAGTTAGTTATTTTGTTTTTTCTTAATCTCGAGTGCATTATTTTACTTAATGTTGATTTTTACCAAATTGGTAAATGGAAATCAACTTTACCTTGAAGGACAACTTGAATTCTAAATAGGAAAGGACAACGTTAAAAAAATGGAAGAATTTTCTAAGTAACAAATATTCTTTCCCTCTCAAGACTCTCAATCTCGAGTGAATTATTTTACTTAATGTCGATTTTTACCAAATTGGTAAATGGAAATCAACTTTACCTTGAAGCATTTAAAAAATAATGCTAAATTAAAAAATTAAAAATAATAACTAAAATAATATTAATAATAACTAATAGAGGATTACATAAATTTTCAAATGATCACCAACTTTAGGGTTAATAACGTGTTTTAAGACACAATGAATTTACTAGGTTTGTTCTTTGCTACTCCTGTTTAGGAGCCACGATCGTTTTATGACATTTTTCTATAAAAATGATTTGTAGAATGTTTTGAAACGTAAGGATCGATGCCATACTGTTGACCAGTAGTGTATTGCCAGTTTCCTGTGTAGTCGATCGTGCGTGACCAGTCGTAATTACACGCAACAGCATGCAAATCGCAATAACGCGTTTTAGCATAATAAAAAGTTTCGTTTTCTGGTCTATTTAAATGATTCCACTTGAGAAAGTGACAAGTAAATTAATATTAATGGCGTTGCCATGCTGCGTAAAAGCAGTGCACGTGCACACGCGATTGAAGAAAACCTGGTTCTCCATTAGGATGAACGCGCATAAAATTATTGTGCTCCGTTCGTGTAAAAAGGAACGTATGAAAATTGAATTTAGTCTATAGCTAGCTTTAACGAATTACTTTTCGAGACTTCCTGGTCGCGATGAACAAAAGTCTTTTACGAGTGATTTCATTATTTTGATCTTGAAAACTCGTGGACTAGTGGAAAGATTAACTTTATTGACACACCTTGGTATTCCCTATCAAATAATAATGTTATTTATGACTATCCAATTGTCCCACACATGATTTTGCGAAGATAAATATCGAAAGGGGGAGATGGCTCGGCGCGTTTTATCGAGGTACGAACGCGACGTTTTAACGAGGGAATACAGCGTGCGACAAAAGGGTTCTCGTGGCAGACACAGTCTATACACGGGCATGCGTTTCAACATTTTTCGACCGAGTGAACTTTACGCGAACGCATCGAATCGTTCGTTCGATTTGCAAGGCGTTACGACACAACGACGACCAACAGAATCGAAACATCGGATCGGTTCCGAACCGATGTCCCCGATCCGTACGAAAGGAAAGTCCAGGAGACACACGGTTGTCTCTTGTACAGGTCCTATTCGAAATTGTGGTTGGAGGCAACAATAAGTCGTCTTGCAAATATGAAACGCGCTGTACACGTCGATGAATAGAATATATGACCTAGTTGAATCGCCGAATCTTCGCTACATTTCACTTCTTACGTCGCGAACGAAATATCCGTTACATCATAATTCACGGCGAAACCTCGCGCTACATTTTGTTATTCTATCCGCGAACCGCGCCTGAATCCAAAATCACGGGGCAGGAAAATGGTTATTCGTCGCTGGCTCGCGGATGTATTCTCGTAAATTTGCCACGGGAATCGAAAACGGCGTCGCGAACGATTTCGAAAGACGTCCGCGCGTGGCCATTGATTTCCATTAGCGCCAGAGATCGTTTAATCGGTTCAATGTCGATTCTGGTCCGAGCTTAGGAACTGTTTCGCGCCAATGATTGCTCCTTTCACCCAGCCGCTGTACGTAGTTGTCGTCTTCGCGCGAATATCGACGATCCGTAATGGCTAACGAGATTATTTTCAGTCGAACCGATTCGAACATCGCGCGAACGCTTTCAATGGGACCGATTACGCGTCGTCTCGTGGATCCAGAGAGGATTCCAATCGTTTTAATAAATAGTTACGGCTCGAAACGTTATTTGGTAATT